CTAATGCTGTCTTCCACCCCACAGTGCCAAATCATGGGCAGCCAAGGAAACCTTTAATTTGTGAGGCAATTTGAGTTGTTAAGTGAAATGGATTTATAATGGCTTGTGATTACACCCCCTTGCGCTGCTGTCTAATTCAGGTTTCCGCAGAGTGAAACTGATCAAAATTGCCTGGCATCAGAAGCTCTGCTGCAGTCCTGTCTAGCGTGCAGCATGTGCTTGAATGGATAGTCTGCAGTTATGGCGGATTACTGAAGGAATGCACGCTGTTCTGCCAGGCCCGACGCTATGCCTGTTTAAAAGTCATTATTAGTGCTTGTTGTGAAAGGCCGGTTTTTCTTTGTCACTCTTATAGGGTGGAAACTGGCATTGCAGGCACATTTTTTTCATTAAAGCCAGGTGGATGATCATGACTGTGGAGCAATAAAACCTGGACAAATGATGCCGATGACTCTCATTTATCCAAGTCACAGGACTTTTATGCAGATTTATGCTCTGTTAGATGAAGAAAGTACAATGCTGTTCAACTAAACTAAACTGTTGACATTTGCATGTTCAGTCATCACAGACAGTGGCGGTTCTAGTTCAAATGGCACCCTGGGCCACCCCAAACATCCCTCTAGAAATAAAGACACTATGCGGTGGACTTTATATATATTAAATAAAAATAAACAACAACAATATATATATATATATATATATATATATATATATATATATATATATATATATATATATATATATATATATATATATATATATATATATATATATATACAGTTGAAGTCAGAATTATTAGGCCCCTTCGATTTTTTTTCCTTCTTTTTTAAATATTTCCCAAATGATGTTTAACAGAGCAAGGACATTTTCACGGTATGTCTGATAATTTTTTTCTTCTGGAGAAAGTCTTTCTTTTTTATTTGTTTTATTTCGGCTAGAATATAAGCAGTTTTGCATTTTTTAAACACCATTTTAGGGACAAAATTATTAGCCTCTTTAAGCTATATTTTACAGAACAAACCACTGTTAAACAATAAATTGCCTAATTGCCCTAACCTGCCTAGTTAACTTAATTAACCTTGTTAAGACTTTAAATGTCATTTTAAGCTGTATAGAACTGTCTTGAAAATCCTGTACTCAAATATTATCTACAGTCATCATGGTAAAGATAAAATAAATCAGTTATGAGAAATGTGTTATTAAAATTGTTATGTTTAGAAATGTGTTGAAAAAAATTGTCTCTCTGTTAAAAATAAATTGGGGAAAAAATAAACAAGTGGTCTAATAATTTAGGGGGGCTAATAATTCTGACTTCAACTGTGTGTGTATATATATATATATATATATATATATATATATATATATATATATATATATATATATATATATATATGTATATACATTTATAATTATTATTATAAGTATATTTAAGTATATTTATTTTCAATAAATATAACAATTTGTTTATTATTATTATTTTACAATTGTTATTCTAAAAAAATAAAAGAAATCAATCCTAAATGGAACTGAAAAACAATGTAAAGACACAACTGGAGTACTATTCTAAGACTTTTGCATGAATATTAATTATGACAGTTCTATAGAATACAAATATATATGTTTTATAGAATTATCTGTTGTCTTAGACCTGACTCATGGCCTAGAATTAATGTTATGAAGTCTTAGTTACCTTCCTGACTCATTATTCCCCCTTTCTGCTTCATAGCCCTGCTTAGTCAAAGTAACATCATCATCATCATATGATATGAACTTTAGTTTTGTCGACTTGGATGTTGACGCATATCGGCGTGCATGTACAGTAAACAACTGGGATCAGGAGCAGCGCTATTGAGGCACGTAGAAAAGGCTTTCTGCGCACATGTATCAATTTGTTTTAATCAGCGTTGTTTTGGTTGCACATAAAGAATAACAAACTTGAGTTGTGAATTGAATTGGGAATGGCCCCTTACGTCTTTATTCTTGGATAACCACTCAATACACTTGCATAAAGTAAATCTTATCTTATAGCTTTTACTAGGGCCCTGTTTTTATGTCCCTGTGCCGCACCCATGCCGCCCTGGGCGATCGCCCATATTTCCCATGCCTAAATCCGCCACTGATCACAAACAGAGTTTTATTATGTCTATTTATCATCTGAAAAATGAATAAGCTTTTCATTGATGGATTGTTTGTTATGGCCGATCTATGGACCCTTTTCACAAGACTGTTGTGATGTGTTTAATGGTGTTTAATCTTAAATCCGTTTTTAACATTTAGATTAAAAAACAAAACAAAATATACGTATATTTATATGTATTTATGTATGTATTATATCATCTTTGCATCAAATTACAAAAAAACTATTTACCCCTTGTGAGGAGTGTTTCTAATGTAGCGTCTATCGGCAGGACAGTAAATTTGATGTTTTTCTCTATTCTGGTTGCCATTATCAATCTCACACAATATTTTTTTCTTTTCTAAAAGTCTTGGTAACACCAAAATGGAGCTTTTATTGTATTATTTCAGATAATCAGATAATTTAGAATAGAATTGTAAAAAATATTATTTGTTGTACTTTTCCATTCACTGCGCTCTATGTTTACCCAACTATGACGACTTCTGGTACTGAAAAACACAGAAATGTGAAAAGGATCCATTTGAGAATCTGGAATCTGAAAGTAAAAAAATCTAAATTTGAAGAACATTTTCTTTGAAGTTGCTCAAATGAAAATCTTAGCATTGCATTTACTAACCAGAAATGAAATTTTTAAAATATATTTAGAGTATGGAATTTTTAAAATGTCTTCATATAACATTTGCTCATTTTTGCTCGTCAAGGATTTATCATTTTTGCATACTATTGTTGGGTATTCCTACAAATGTCTTCAAAAACTGCTTGTTTTTGGCCAAAATTTTTTTTTTTTACTTTAACTACTGGTCACAAATGCTTTAAACTACTTTACACAATTAGAATTGGAAAAAGAACCCCAAAAAAAGATGACACTTCCCATTTTTGTGCCACCATCAAATTTGCAAAAGTGATTTAATATAAATATAAAGATCTACTTTAAAGTTTAAAGAACTTTTGTTAAAATAAAATGCCAAAAAATAGATGTTAAAAATGCAATCCAATGTATTAAAAATTAAACATTGTATTTTATGCATATATAAAATAAGAGATTATATACTATTGCATTATATTTGAAATGATTAAAAGCTTCTTGCTGACAAAAAAGCCTTGTGGTTCGAAAGATAGTGATAAAGTATCATTTAAAACAACAATTATTTAGTGTTTTGCAGCTGCTTGCACGTTCATTTTAATATATCATCAAATTATTATTGCACCTAATATGCCTGATAAGATACAGCGAAAACATGTCGCACTTAAAGGAACAGTTCACCTCAAAATGGAAATTCTATAATTTACACTTCCTCCACTTATTCTAAACCTGTTTGAACACAAAACAAAACAAAAAAAAATGTAATACAGTTTTTGAATTGATTCTTGAAATTCTATTTCTTCTTTGACTTGTAGTGAAACTGGAAAAAAAATGTAGGGTTGGGCTTGATTTTTGTCTATTGGGCTGGATTGGATCACTGTGATTTGCTATTGGTCAGTTTCAAGTGTGTGACAGTTTGTCCCACCCTCATGTCATCGTGAGGAACTATTTAGACAAAAAATATGAAGGTACATAAATTACGAAAAAGTTATAATTATGCACAAATAACAACAAGAACACTCAATGTGGATATGTACCCCTGTCTACATTTCTGTAGAGCACAAATTATGTGGCCAGAAGTACATCTGGCGAAATTTCGTCGTTAAAATGAACGGTACGAGATGGTATGATGCCATTGCCAGCTTCTGTTCTTTTCCAAGCTTTCAGCTCACCACCTGTCTTTGTAGGGACGGCTTAACAAAATAATACTGATAAAATAATAGATTTATAAGACCAAAAACTGTCTGTTAGATATGTTAGATGTTTTAAATTATGTTTTAACTACTATGGAGAGATGCAATCCAGCGGTACATTCGGGATGGACTGGCCGATTAAAACTGCTCTTGGAGGGGGAGATGATGACGAAGCTCCTGCTGACAGGCTGGGGGTCAGAGTCACCATAAGCTGAGGCACATCGCCAAAGATGCGCTATCTTTATAAACAAACTGCCGATTCGAGTTTAAAACAAGTACATTCTCACTTGAAAAAATGTTACAACTTTATTTTGTGACAGTACTTTTAAAACAGTACGGGTTTTCTCCTCTTCAATTAGCTTTTGCTGGTTAGGCTGCAATGCATTCTGAGATACCTGTGCTTCGCAAGTTCGCACAAGTCACCTCTAGATGCATCTTTGGCAAAAGTGGCGGAGCAAGTAAACATCTGGGAATTTTATCTGTACTTAGCAAGATGTGAACTTTGAATTGGAACAGTACTTCGGCGACGGTAAATGACGCTTTAAGAGGACACAAGAATGCAAGAACCGACAAGAACGCATATTGAAAAACAGCCAAGGTTCGAGTCTGTCGAAGAACGGTTCCAGAAATGAAGTAAAACAAAAGAAAAGATTCAATAAATTAAGAAGCGACAGGCTGAAAATGTGGTGAAATCACGCAGCTGCAACAGCTTTTCTTTTTCTAGATTGCTCTTGAAAACACTATCGGTTGGGTTTAGGGAAGGGGTGGGTGGTCAGTCAGTAAGTCGACAGCAAGCTGGCCTGGTTGGCCGAAGTGTATATTGTGCCCTCTGGTGGATTTCAACAAGAAACATTCAAGATCATTAAAAAGCTTACCCGACAGCCTCTGGTGGATTCACAAAAACAAAAACTGTGAGCAGACCTCCGGTCACACATTTTCACATTTTCACACACTCAGAAATGTAGATGGAGCACGTTTCCACAATGAGTCTGGGTTGCAACAACAAACACAGAAGTATTCCATTAAAATAAGAGTTATTTTTGATTTCACAATCTCATTTTCACAATTTCATGCTACACCTCTACAGGAGAGGAGTGCTTGACGATGGCTGTGAAAACGCGCTGTCAGAACCAGCTGAAGCGGAGGAGGAGCCGCAGTGACCGTATGGCGAGCCGCTTGAGGGCCCGCAGGAGTCCGGTGGGCAGGACGGCCCGCATGGAGCACAGCAGTGGCCTCTGCGAGATTCACTTTCTCCCTCTGGTTGTTGGAGTGAAAGATACCAACCGAACCCAACGACTGCGCTGTGTAGGTGAGTCAGCTGAGGTGGTTCAACCGGCTTAATGATCTCTGGAAGTCTAGGAAGAAGCAGTAACAATGAGCTGATTATGATGGTATAATTATCCTACTTTGAGTAGGAATTAAATACTATTTAAAAGTCTTGTGAAGTGCTTTGAAATAGGCTGTTTTGTTTGATTTGTGGTGTAATTTTAACTGAAACAAGACATGACAGGACATAAAACAGCCCCTCCCCTTTTAATAAAATAGCCAATGGACCCTTTTCACTAGCCTGTTATGACACGTTTAATGGTCATCAGCATCCTAAATCCCTAAAAGTTTTTAAAATTTAGATTTTTTTTTACAAACATATGAAGATTTATACAAATTTATGTATGTATTATATAATCTTTGCTTTAAATGACAAAAAATGAATTACCGCTTGTGAGAGGTGTTTCTGATATGGAACAGGACAGTAAATTTGACATTATTCTCTCTTCTGGCTGCCCTCATCCTACACATGTTTTTTCCTATTTCTGAAGTCTTTATAACATCCTTGTAGAGTTTTTCTTTAGTTATTTGAGCAAATAAGATTTTGAAAAAAAATATTTGTTGTATTCTCACATTCACTGCACTTTAAGTTTTCCCAACTATGACGACTTCCACTTCTGAGAAAGCCAGAAATGTGAAAAGGGTCTATAGCTTTTCATTTGATCACAGATCTGCCAGTGTGAGTGGTTGAGCTTAAGCGCATATAAAAATAACACACTGATACTAGAGAGCATTTAATTGGTCTCCAGACTTGATGAGAGACTGAAGGATGAGGTGACGACAGAAAATCGTTGATCCATTTAGGCCATTTTGTTTCTTTGTTTTTCTTTTTCTAAGAATTTCAATTCTCTTTGGAACTTTTGTTGTTGATGCCTGATTTTCTTATAACTGTAAATGACTAATGCACAATATAAAAAGGAAGCGACAAACTGCAAGCTTTGAATGTTTCCATCTTTTAAACGCCAAATTTGTCACTGTTTTAGAGCACACCAGCTTATAAATATACTTAAGACAAACATACTGATATTAATATCACTTTTTTTTTGAAGTCACAGAGACTTTAAAAGTCCTGCTCTAATTTTTTCTGCCAAGATTAGAAGCGATAATGAAAATTCTGTCATTTACACATCTTCCACTTGTTCTAAAGCTATTTGAGTTTATTTCATTTGTTTAACACAAAAGACGTTTTGTAGAATGTTAAAAGCCTGTAGACTTTGACACTTTATTAGGTACACCTGTACAACTGCTGATTGAAGCAAATTTCCTATCACATGGCAGCAACTCAATGCATTTAGCCCTGTGAACAAGGTCACAGCAATTTACTGCAGTTCAGTTAGCGTCAGAGTGGGGAAGAAAAGGTGATTTAAGTGACTTTGAATGTGGCATGACTGTTGATGCCAGATGGGCTGGTGTATTTCAAAAACTGTTGATCTACCAGATTTTTCACGCACAACTATCTCCAGGGTTTACAGAGAATGGCCCAAAAAAGAGAAAATATATAGTGAGCGGCAGTTCTGTGGGCGCAAATGCCTTGTTGAGGCAGAATGGTCAGGCTGGTTCCAGCTGATAGAAAGGCAACAGTAACTCAAATAACTGCCTTGTATGAGGGGTTCAAGCTGGTGGTGGTAGTGTAATGGTGTGGGAGATATTTTCTTGGCACATTTTGGGCTCGTTAGTACCAATTCAGCATTGTGTCAACGCCACAGTCTACCTGAGTATTGTTGGTGACCATGTTCATCCCTTTTATGACAACAGTGTACCCATCTTCTGATGGCTACTTGAGGCAGGAAAACGCGCCATGTCATAAAGTGTGAATCATATCAGACTGGTTTCTTGAACATGACAATGAGTTTACTGTACTAAAATGGCCTCCACAGTCACCAGATCTCAATCCAATAGGGCACCTTCGGTATGTGGTGGAACGAGAGATTCACATCATTGATGTGGAGCCAACAATTCTGCAACTGTAATGCTATCATGGCAATATGGACCAAAATCTCTGAGAAATTTTCCAGTATCTTGTTGAATCTATGCCAAGAAAGATTAAGACAGTCCTGAAGGCAAAAGGGAGTCCAACCCGGTAGTAGTAAGGTGTACCTAATAAAGTGGTCAATGAGTGTAGTTTCCTACTATAGAAGTCAGTGGCTACCAGTTACCAAAAATCTAAATTTATTGTAGTGAAAAAAAAAATATATATATTCCTTTCTCCTTTTACACTTTTTGTTTAACTATTCCCATGGAGCTCCCTGTGTGTTTCTTTTTTAAATGTGACCATTATTTATAATGCATCGCTTTAAAGTTTTCATTTCAATGCATCAGTTTTATCATGTGAGACACATGTTGAAGATTTAAGCATATTTTGATTTTTAATTAATTTGACCTTCTTTGCCAATATCGACAAATAACCTAACTATACTGTAAAATGCATGATATTTGTTTGAATTTAGCAGATGATCTTGTCATGCACTGAATACTCTCTTCTAACTGGTGTGAGTGTACACATTGAAGGGTTAAACATTCCTTTAGTCCTCTGCTCCAAAACCCACTCGCCAAAGACAAATCTGTCAAGCAGATGTCTTCAATCCCAGGTGATTTACATGCAGACAGCAGTTTTACAGGATTAATGTTTTTTTTTTATTGCTGTCACAGATACTGGTGTTATTTATTAGGGAAAGATTTAGTGAAATATGTTTTTTGATATATATATATATATATATATATATATATATATATATATACACTTACTGTATATACACGGTACTTTTAACTGTGCTTAAGCCTTACTGGAATGATCTCGCACTCGTAAGGTGTTCAATAGTGAATACAGGTGTAAAATGTTTTGATCTGGTCTATTTTTGACCACTTTCAAAGGTAAAGGTAGTTGAAAACACATTGGCTTGGACTGCTTGCGCGTTGTAAGTTCTTATGTGGTCAAGTGCGTTCAAACAGCCACATAAGACCACCAACTGACATATTCCTTAAAAATGACTGTGCTGTTGAAGCCAGTAGTCTGATGGCATTTAAACTTTTGATATATTGGTTTGAAATTGTGGCTGCAATTCAGTTTAATTTTACAGCTATCAGAAACCAAATTAATGCCGCTGCCATGTTTATTATCTTCTGCTGTCTAATTTCTAGTTCTTAAACTGTGCAAGACTGTTGTGCAGTATTAGCTTGAAAGATCAGAAAAAGCCTGTACATACAATCGGGGAAATAAGTATTTACCGTCATGTTTTTTTGGGAATAATATTATTAATTTTCAAAGGAGCTGTGACATGGATTTAAACCAGATTTTGGTAAAAAAAACAAAAAAAAACAAAAAAACATAAAAAAAAAACAAATAAATAAATCAATAAATTTTGTTGTGTAATGAAACAAGAAGAAAGTACTGAACTACTTAAATGCCTTTAATACTTTATATATATATATATTTTTTTTTTTGGGATCGCAGTTAAAATGTGGCAATAAGATTGTAACTGTACTGTGCATTTACACAGTGGCCATATTCATCTATGTAAACACACCAAAAACAACATTAACATTATGGCAGACAATGTAAAAAGCCTATTCCCTGCAATTAGACTTTTCTGACAGGGTATTCCACTGTCACCAAGTGTCAGAATGTTGTGGGACTGCTGTACTGGAGGTATGATTATGGATTATAGATCGTGAAATTTAGTTTTTATTTTTAAAGCATGATGGTAAACACGAACACGGTTATGAATATATTAAAATTAGTGTTTGTTTGTTGTAAAACTTCCAAATAATGACAAATAAATACACATTTGTGGATCTCCTCACTTCCGGGTGTAACTATCCTGCCGTTGTGGCTGGTGTATTTTGGGAAAATTTCTTACCCCTTGCTTTCAAGTGTGGTCCTGAAAAATCTTTGTTCGAAGGGCTATTCACTCCTTCCCCCTTAGCCCTATACGCATTCAAGCTAAAGAGAATTGGGACACTCTTACCCCTTCACGGGAACATGCAAAATGAGGGGTAGGGGTAAGGGGAAAGGGCTAAAAGTGCTAAGGGGTAGAATTGGGATTGGGCCCAAGTAATTTTTTTTTCAAAAAATGCTTCATGAGGCAGGGCGTGGAGCTCTGCGAGCTGGAGTAGGCATGGTCGACAGAGCAAGGGAAAAAGAGGGGGGCAAATAACTGTTGTCACTTGGCGCACAAAGTGAGATACAAACCAAAAGGAGACCCATAATTTTATAGTTTACAGAGTAAAAATGCAAATAAATACACAGTAAGTAATCTAATGTCCTGCTACATTTGTTATTCGTAATTTCATATAAACATAAACACAATTTGTTATCTCATTATAAAGATAATTGTGTTTATATAATCACTATAAATAAGGAGGACTTCTCTCTTTGTCACCGACTCGGTCCCAGTCATTCCCCTCGCTGGCCAGCAGAGGCCACCATCTCCGGACTTCTAAGCATTACATCATCCATTTACTCTGATCATGCACACCTGAACTGAATCCCGCTAATGATCCACGTACCCTTTATAAGCCAGCACCAAATGCTCATTCAGTGCGAAGTCTTGTTTAGCCCTGGCCAGCATTTCTGAGCTTTATTCCTCCCTGATTCCTTGTGTATTACTCCAGCCTGTTTCTTGACTCAGGCCTTCTGCCTGCCCACGACCCACGCATTGTATACGGACTCTGATACTCACTGCCTGCCCACGAACCACGCCTGGTTCAAGGATTCTGATACTTGCAGCCTGCCCTCGATCTATGTCTGGTAATACTCCGTGTCTATTCATCGCCAGTCTTTATCCATCATAGACTGTTATTGTTGTTGTGTGTTTGCACGTTAGTGCATATTGTGTGTGTGTGTGTGTGTGTGTGTGAATAAGAGCTTGAGCAATAAATACTGCATAATGGATCCCTCCGTGTCAGTCTCCTCGTTACACTTTCTCAATCCCTGGGTCTGAATGCAGACAGTAGATAGCAGTGCAGCAGGTCTATTTCAACCATTAACCCTGCCAGTAAAAAATGCGAACAGCAGCACAGGTATAGGTAATGTGTCTCAATAGTAACAAACTCAACTAATAAAAGGCAAAGTCTGCCATTCTCCAATTCTTGCACAGCTCTCCCAACAAAAATTGCTTGGCAAGTATGCCTTGCTTTTGTGAATGATGTGCTTTCATGAATAATTAAGAAATTAGCTGACAAGAGCTCAAAATTATCCAATTTTCCCCAGAATAAAACCTAACAGGTGCTACTGTTGTCTTAACTGATGCTCAACACACATAAATCTGTTAAAATAATAAAAAAGTACCCATGGGTGTCTTGAACCTTTGAAGACGCCTCTCATATGAATGAAGTTACATTAACTACTCCGTTGTGAGTTTTTTTTTTTTTTTTTTTTTTACAGAGTAAAAATCTTGATGGTTCTGTTGGTTTTGTTTATCAAATCTGATCTTTAATTTGTATTTTTTTATTGGATTCAAATCAGGTGATTGGCTGGGCCATTCTACAGCTTGATTTTCTTTCTCTGAAAGCATTTAAGAGTTGCCTTGGCTGTGTTTTGGATCATTGTCTTGCTGAAATGTCCACCTTAGTTTCATCATCATTATCCTGATAATAGATGTTGGACTGAAGCAGCTAATATTCATTTACAATGAGGAAGAGCAGAGGGTTGCTGAAGAACTGAAAGATTCAGCTGCTGTCTGGTCTTTCACTGAATTTCTACACCTCCCTTTATTCAAGTGTTCAATACTTTTTCCCTGTGTCATTTCATTTATTCACACTAAATTTATTTATGAACTAATTCGTTTTATTGTCTTTGCATAAACGGATTTCTTTGTAACTAACAAGTCAACGGTACCTTTAGAAATATGTTTTCTAAGAAAAATGGTGACGTGTTCAGTAATTGTTTTCCCCTCTGTACATCTACCCATAAACCCTCCACTGATGGAAATCAGGAAAGTGTTCTACAGTCGACAAAAGAGACAGATTAAAACATCAGGTATAAACCTGAATTAGTATCCTGGTTTAACAAACGTATCTTAATGCCAGGTATAAACAGGGACAGTTCTGGTTTTGTCAAAGTGGAGAATTTGTATGACCAACATATTTGCATCTTAACATTTCACATCATTTAACTAATCATTTACTCACCCTTCACTTATTTCACAAAACGTTTTGAGATAGCTATTTAAAAAAATGTTGGAAACTGGTAACCATTGACTTTTATTGACACACACACACAAAAAAAAACATTCTTCCTCTACATTGTATTTCTGCTCAACTAAAAATTAAATAATTTCAATGATATTTGCCGTAGATCATCCAGACTTTGCCAGATGCCCACAGCCTTTGCCTCTGACCAGCCCCAGTGTGCCCATCTCCAGCTGTGAGCTCAATAAAAACACCCGCCGGTGCCATCAGCAACGTCTGGCCACACACCTGTCCTGCCGCCTCTACCAGACCTGTGATCACGCCGTGCTCCTGTCAGGTACTCAAAGAGCTCATTTGTAAGATCTGCCTCTATGATGTCAGAAAAGCAGGATTATCAGCACTCTCAGGTATGCTGCTCGCTGCGTAACCTTTAACCCGTGCACGTGCAGGTGGCTGGCAGGAGCAGATAACATACCAGCGGCACGCGCACAACCTGCAGCTCTTCTACCAGATGCTGAGGAACAACGGCTTCCATAAGGACCATGTTAAGACTTTCTTTGCTGGGAACGGACAGGTAGCAGGTCAGAGGACGTTAGTTACACTTTTAATGGGTTGTTATTACTGTTAGTACTAGAACACTGTTCAAATCTGATGATGACTGACTCAAAATTGAATTCAGAATCAGATTTTGGGTGCTGCAAAACAATTTACTGAACAGATGGATGTTTATTTGACTCATTATGGTGTTTGTTGTCATAAAATTGACTTTTGAAGACAACAAATACACTCAATAAACTTCATTGAACAAGTACTCATACACTGTAATAAATATCTGTTAGCAGTTTCCGTAATTAGTTTTTTCTGTTTATTTCCGGTTGCGAAATGCATTATGCGATCTTGATCTCTGCTCTGTCGGCTTTTAATGTTGAAAATTCAACTCCACAGTAAAACAAAGCAACTTTTATTAACATTTTTTGACTTTTTTATTTTCACGATCCATTCAGAACGAACCTTTGGGTCGGAAAATAGTGAGACTCCAGAGTACTTCTGAGTTTCTTCCCACCGCAGCCTCACTTTCGCTTTTAAAATGACGTCTGGGTCATACTTTTGAAAGTATTGCATTACGATATTGATTTTCTCCCCCAAAAATTTTATGTTGCTTAGTTACTTTTTATGGCAAGTAATGCGTTACGTTGCTTTTGAGTTAATTTTACTTTTTCTGATCTGGCTGAGGTTTATTGTCTTTCAGAACTTGCAGGTTCTTTTGTTTCTTCTTCTTTTTTTAAAAAGAGGAGTTAACAACACATTGTATATAACCTTAATTTACATAGAAAAAAAAACATAATAATAATTAATGTAGGATAAAGTTATCTTTGGAGAACTTCCTGACCCCAGAGCTATACATGCTTTATTTACAGATTAATGAAAGTTTAAAGCAACGTGTTTGCTACTTTTGTACTTTTTATCTTATTAAAAAGTAAAATCACTGCCCATTCAGATAAACCTCTTTTCTTTTCTTCCATGTGTTTAAAATAATGAGAATATTTTCAATCGCAGAAATGTAAGTCTTTGCCATCTTCATTTCTGTCTGTTATTGTGTGTGAGATTTAATGTGACTATGATCATTTTAATTCAGCTAATTTTTAAAAGCAAATTTAACTAAACCAAAAAGTAACTTGCGTTATATTTTTAAAAAGTAGCTCAACTATTACTACTTAATTTTTAAAAGTAATGGGTTACTTTACTCACTACTTAGAAAAGTAATATTATTACGTAACTCGCATTACTTGTAATGCGTTAACCCCAACACAGGTTAACTAATAAAGTTATAGTATCTTATAATCTTTACCTCTCTGATTTTGATCGTAATGCTTGTGTAAAGCTGCATTGAAACAATAATTATTGTGAAAAGTGCAATACAAAATAAACTTGAATAGGCTATATGCACAGACTTTTAATTTTCAGCCAGGCAGCCCAAGAGCTTCCAGTGAACTTCCATTATGAAATTTGGACAGAATTTTGAACAGTCTTTCCATTATGAAATTTCTTTAAAAATCAGCAATCTTCACTGCCTGTTAGATATACGATATGAAGTGGGTCTCAGATTGGACAAGAAGCACTGCATTAAATTCCATTTCCCCTTGCCATGTCTTTAAAATATGACCGTTTATTTTACCTCAGTATTTTTTTAAAAAATTTTTGCACTAGCCTGTTGCTAGACAGCGCTAGTGGTTACAACAGTCTTTCATCTTGTTTTACGCTTAACTAAATGCATGCTGAAGTCTACTTAACTGAATGTATTGTAAATACATTACAACACCGATGCATTTAAAAACAACCTTGTGAAATTGAGAATAGTCATATTAGGCTTTCACCGGAGGTTTATCATTGACTTTAAAGCTCTAGCTGTGCATAGTGCCCAATTAATTATTAAAAGTGGCATTTCAGCCTGTCGCATTTAGATGTAATAATGCTCTTTACTTCTACAGTTAAAGAGACGGAGGGCATGTATCCAGCCACAGAGAAGGAGGTGATCAGGAACCACATCTCCTACATCTGCCGCAAGCAACACTGTGTGGATTCCCTGGTTCTATATCTGAACAGCCCCACACGCAATGACGGCACCATGCTGCTCTGGGACCGCAACAACAACGGCATTGTGAGTGTGTGCTACTAAACAATCTGACGCCCATGTACACTGTCAAAAAAAAATCTGTTAATTAACAGTGTCTGTATTTAGTGACTCATAATTGTTTACCATTTATTTGCGGTTGTGAATTGCATTGTGGGATGTTGATCTCTGCTCTGTCGACTTTTGACATAAAAAATTTCTCTACAGTGACATTTTAGTAGTTTGAAGCAATGTAATGTATAATGTATACTATATAGAGAAATAAATCTGTAAAATAACAGAAAATGTACTGGCAGCTTATTACAATGTTTTTGTAGCATAATATACAACATCAACCCAGACAATATCTCGCATTAAATTATAAAACGCTTAAATAAAAGTCACTTATCCAACTTTTTAGGGTCAAAAGTTGTTGGAAGGAAGATCAAGCTCCCATAACGTGATTCAAAAGCAGAAATAAACAAGGGAAAATAGGGAAAACTGCAAATTCATGGAATTATTTTACAGGGTAGTGTAAAGTCCCATTCAGAATACAGGATTTGCTAGATGTAGGGTTGTCGTGGGAATTCATAAATGATGAATAGGTGTCGGGATAGGTGTTGCCATAGAATTACAAAGAAAAGCCTGAGAATGGGTTTGATTGGACTGTTTGCATTATGCTGGAAGGGCATCCACTGTGAAAAACATATGCTGGATCAGTTGGCAGTACATTCCGCTGTGACGACCCTAGATGAATAAAGAGATTAAGCTGAAGGAAAATAAATGAACGTATTGAATGTATGTAATCTAGTAATTATGACATGGCAACTTTGTAGCCTTGTATGATGAAGCACGCAGAAGTGACTCTGAAACGAAGTAGATTTCTGTCATTCAAAGTAGTGAACTTGATAACCCCAAACTAAAATCTGCATGGGGGATAAAATTTGCTTTTAGTTTTAAGTCCTTGCAGCTTAACATTGTACAACATTTAAGCTTTTACTATTGGTATGATAGTCAATCAATTAAATGATGAGTTTTAATACTTTATAACAATAATGAAAACTTTTTATTATTAATTTATTAATACATTTTTTATAATTTTATTACATTTTTTTCATTAATAAAAAAAAAAAGACCCAAAATCAAACCAATGATTCCAATGCTTTAGGGGTAATTAATGTGTCAGTGTTCTTTGGGTAAGGGATTCATAAAGGTAAATGATGAAGTAAGTGAATTTCTTTTTAAAAGCCTTTATCAACATCGCTATTCTATAAAACAGCATCTAGGCGTTTCGGCACACTGGCCTTCATCAGGATAACGATGATGATTACCCTGATGAAGGCAAGTGTGCCGAAAGACCTGTTGTTTTATAGAATAGCAATGTTACTAAAGACTTTTTGAAAAATTCACTTACGTTGAGTGCCTTGGACCTCTGATTTTATTGTTTATTAATTTAAAACAATTTAAAATACGTACATAATTTATGCATATTTTTAATTACACCTTTTCAAAATTTAATTAATTAATTTATTTTTTACTTTTATTTTTTACCAGCAAGTATGCTCTAAATGAATCAAATGTGACAGTAAAATCTTTGAAAAAAATAATAGCAACAAATGCTTTACATTTCAAATAACATAAACTATTCCTAGGGAATGTTTCTTGATATTCAAAGCAAAATATTAGAATGATTTCCAAAGGATCATGTGACACTGAAGAATTCATTCATTCATTTTCTTTTTGGCTTTGTGCCTTTATTAATTTGAGGTCGCCACAGCAGAATAAACTGCCAACTTATCCAGCATATGTTTTACACAGCGGATGCCCTTCCACCTGCAACCCATCAATGGGAAAACATAGAAGAATGATGTTGAAAATTTACTTTATTCATGACATGAATAAACTACATTTTAAAATATGTAAAAATGCTTATTTTAAATTCTAACAAAAATTAATAATACAAAATTATAATAATTATAATAAAACTGTACTAAAATATTTGAAAACAAAAGGCGAAGCAGTGGCGCAGTAGGTAGTGCTGTCGCCTCACAGCAAGAAGGTCGCTGGTTCAAGCCTCGGCTCAGTTGGCATTTCTGTGGGAAGTTTGCATGTTCTCCCTGTGTTCGTGTGGGTTTTCTTCCGGGCGCTCTGGTTTCCCTCACAGTCCAAAGACATGTGGTACAGGGGAATTGGGTAGGCTAAATTGCCCTTAGTGTATGAGTGGGTAATTGTGTGTGTATGTTTCCCAGGGAGATGGGTTGTGGCTGAAAGGGCATCCGCTGCGTAAAAACTTGCTGGATAAGTTGGCGATTCATTCCGCTGTGGCGACCCCGGATTAATAAAGGGACTAAGCCGACAAGAAAATGAATGAATTAATTTGAAAAGAAATTTTGCCACAAGACAATGGCATTTAAAAAATTAACTTACTTTTAAACACTACAGTAAGAGAAGTTTAAGACTGACTTAATTTGAAGTGTTTAAAAGTGGAACTAGAGGAATTTCCTCTTCAATGTTACAATTACTGCAGGAAAATTATCTGGTAAAAACAGGTGTCTAAAACTGGAATTGCACTAAGGCTTGTCACCAGTCAATCTCTGACATCATCACAGGTTTGTGTTGGAAAGTGTATTACCATGAAAAAAACCTTTATTTGTCATTATTTATTCTTCCAGAGGTTAACCGTTGTGTTCTGTAAACTACTTGACAAAAGTTTTGTTACATATTTGAGTTTTAGGAACAACAAATAATAACTTGACTTCTAGTTGATCAGTTTGCACCAAAAGTGGATTATATGAAAGGCTAAGGCCTCTAGATTACGCTTATTTAACTCAAATAAAATATGATCAAGTCTTGACAGTAAAGTCTGACTTTGCTTAGACAAAAGTCTTGTCACTGAAATAATGTACAGTATAGAATATAAAGTCATGGTGCAGTGGAAAGAGAGTTAATATTGTGTATGACTCCCATGAGCTTGGAGGACTGCATCCATATATATCTGCAATGACTCAAATAACTCATTAATAAAGTCATCTGGAATGGCAAAGAAAGGACTCCCAGAGTTCATCAAGATTCATTGGATTCTTCTTCAATGCCTCCACCTTCATCTTACCCCAGACTTGCTTAATAACCTTCATGTCTGATGATTGGTCTGGCCAATCCTGGTGCAACTTGACCTTCTTTGCTTTCAGGAACTTAGCGATATCCTGCCCTCTCCTGTGGTTTGTGATGTAATGGGTAGCACAAACGTCTTGCTATAGCTGTTTATGTTGCCATCTACTCTGCAGATCTCTTCCATACCCCCATACTGAATATAACCCCAAACTGTGATTTTTTTCCTTCACCAAACTTGACTAATTTCTGTGAGAATCTTGGGTTCATGTGGGTTCCAGTAGGTCTTCTGCAGTATTTGAGATGATTGGGATGCAGTTCAACAGATTCATCTGAAAAATCTACCTTCCGCCACTTTTTCAAATGATCAACTAAAAGTCAAGTTACTACTTGTTGCTCTTACAACTAGGATCGATGACAAGGCATTTGTCAGGTAGTGTAGTAGTTAAAAAAAAAAGAGTTTTAAAAAATACATAAATATCTTAGTTGAGTGGATTTCTTGTAACAGGATGTACTTTCACAGTCAGACCTCCTATGTAGGTGCTGAGGGAGATTTATCTTAAATGTGGCTTTCCAGGAAGCACAGAAAGGACAGATGCATAAAGGGAGTTCAGGAATCCTTTATCTTCCTGAAAATGAATCCAACATGCTTCCCCAATCCCACCACTTCAAAGAGCCCACTAACCAAAGGATACAAGCATTATGCTATGGAAGTTGACTTCAACTTACTCTTTTCTCAGAAGCGATGAATCTGTAGATACTTTGCACTATACTGGAGTATTTTTAGGGCAGCTAATGAGAAAACCACCTTTGCAGTGAACACCCAAGACTGTCAGAACATTACCCCATGTTAAAGCTGCAGTACAGAACATTTTTGGTTAAAAATAGTCCAAAATGAAAATACATATCCAGCCAGTGTTTCAATGGTAGGCGACGCAGTGGCGTCGAGCCTTGGCTCAGTTGGCGTTTCTGTGTGGAATTTGCATGTTCTCCCTTTGTTCGCGTGGGTTTCCTCCGGGTGCTCCGGTTTCCCCCACAGTCCAAAGACATTTGGTACAGGTGAACTGGGAAGGCTAAATTGTCCGTAGTGTATGAGTGAGTGTGTGTGAGTGAGTGTGTGGATGTTTCCCAGGGATGGGTTGCAGCTGGGAGAGCATCCGCTGCGTAAAAACGTGCTGGATAAGTTGGTGGTTCATTCCGCTGTGGCGACTCTGGATTAATAAAGGGACTAAGCCGACAAGAAAATGAATGAATGAATGAATGAATATATCAATGTTAAGCTTGTAATACTGTGTATACAGTTGAAGTCAGAAATATTAGCCCCCTGTTTATTTTTCAACTAATTTCTGTTTAACAGAGGGAAGAATAACGGAGAGAAGATTTTTTTTCAACACACTTCTAAACAGAATAGTTTTAATAACTCTTCTCTAATAGCTAATTTATTTGATCTTTGCCATGATGACAGTACATAATATTTGACTAGATATTTTTCAAGACAATAAAAAGTACTCAAGAGTGAGATTTAAAGGCTTAACTAGGTTAATTAGGCTAACCAGGCAGGTTAGGGTAATTAGGCAAGTTATTGTATAACAATGGTTGTTCTGTAGACCAGTGGTTCATAACCTTTTTTTTTGGCTGAGACCCTCTTTTCCCCCTGGAAAATATTGTAAGGCCCCCCTTAACATTTAATGTTATTATCGTTCATATAATTTGCTGTAGTGATGACAAAAAATGTTATTTTTAAACAAACTGTATGTTTATATCTAGATATGTTTATGCACAAATAATAGCCTGTGTAAAATGAAAAATAAAAAAACATCAGTTTGCCATTTGTAACTGAAAAACGTAAGCCTTTGGCCTTTAAATTGGCTCTATATTAGTTGCCAATTAGTTGACAAATTTGTAAAAGTTTCTTGTTTCTTTTTTCTTTCTAGCAATGA